TTTTTTTTCCCTTAAATTTTTTTTTTTAAATTTTTTTTTGGTTTAAATTTTAAATTTCTGCCACAAATAGTGTATTTGATCATTAAGGAACTGTTTGGCTGACACAAATAGTGCCTTAACGGCTATAATTTTTTTTTTTTAAAAAAAAAGTTTAAAATTTCAAAAAATTTTAACTTTTTTCAAAAAAAAAAAAAATGTAAATTAAAAATTTTAAAATCACTTCTCTGCTACAAATACCCCAACTCCTACAATCATTTATCACATCTAACCTATCTCTGTTATCTATCATTCAAGTTATCTCTTCTTCTATTTTCTCAATCTTAGTTATTATTTTCAAACTAATTTCGATTCCATAGATCCTCAACATCCATTTTATTACAACACCCAATTCAACCCATCAAGCGATGCGTTTTTGCCATTTTCGAAAAACAATATCAATTTTTCTTCACAATCAGAACTATATTCTAATTGTTATGGAGGAGATTCTAAATTTCTTTCTCATCAATCATCCCAACCTTTTCATCAATATTGTGGTTCTAGTGTTCCACAATCAGAGTAACTCAAAACTTTTGTCAAAACAACCGATTATCCGAAATATAAATAAGGCTGAAAATGAGGCTTTATGTTAGGCGTGGATGTCCATTACCTCTGATGCAATTACGGGGACAAACCAAAGTAAGAAAAAGTTATGAGAGCGAATCTTGGAACGTTATGTATAACATATTGGTGTTCCTCCAACTGACTGAAATCCAGGAGCTTTGATGAATCGTTGGTCGTTGATCTAACAAAAAATCAGCAAATTTTTCGGAGGCATAACTAACATTGAAATGAATCATCTCAGCAACTTCAGCACTGATGATATGGACAGTAATTTATTGTTTAAATATAACTCGTAAATATTTTAAACGGCATCGGCTTTTAATTTTTTGTTACTATTTTTGTGTAGATGATAGCTACTAAATACTTGTTTCGTAACCAAACAGGTGGTGAATTTAAGTTAGAAAGTTATTGGGAGATCTTGAAGCATAACAATAAATGGCATTCACATTGTGCCGAACAAGTAAAAAAAGGAAAAAAAGAAAAAACAGCCGAAGAAGAGGAGTAGATTTGACTTTGACATTAATGAGTCTATTGGGCACTCAATACCATCTACTCCGTCATGTCATGCAGCCACAACAGATAAAGTTTCAACTGAAGAATCACCACACATGGGGAAAAATGATTCACCCGGTGTGAAAGAATATCAACAATTATGACTAGCACAAAGAAAAGCGGCGAAGTAGCGTCGAACAAAAATTAATTCAACATTTGAATTGCAAAATTCATTCGTTTCCAATTTTAATGATCTCAAATGCCGTTATGAGAGTCGTCAGGAAAAATAAAGAATGCCTAAGTGGCACGAGATGTAAGAAAAAAATGAGAAAGAGAAGATAAGGCAACTAGAGATTTTAGAGAAATAAAGAGTTGAAGAGAAGGAAATCATGTTAACAGATCCAAATTCGGCATTAACAGAAGCGGAGAAAGATTGAATTATTGCATGATAAATTGAGATATTGGCATCTTTGCATTTACAGTCCGCCTCAAAGTTCTCATAGGATTTTATAATCCTTAGTCTATTTATTTTCTTATTTTAATTTAGGATATTATATTGTTTAAGTTATTTTTAATTATTTTATTTAAAATTTATTATTATTATTTTTTATTCATAATAGATAATATATTGTTTAAAGTTATAATATCAATACTAGTTTTTTTGGATCCACATGGTTGGTATTGACAATTTAACCACATTCACGGGTGGTGACCTATTCATGAAATTTTTTTTGGGGGTTGGGCGCGGGGGGGAGGGGGGTTGTCCTTACCTAATTTATCAAACACATTGTTCACAACTTCACAAAACAAAATCTTATCCAATATCCACCAACCACACAGTGCTTGGGGGAGGGGGGGGGGGGGGGGGGGGGTCCTTACCTAATTAATCAAACACATTGTTCACAACTTCACAAAACCTAATTAATCAAACACATTGTTCACAACTTCACAAAACAAAATCTTATCCAATATCCACCAACCACACAGTGCTTTCCAGCCAGTTACATTGCCATGCACTGTGTGGGTCTCTTTATTTCTTGAGTTCGTCAAATTTATTTTAAAAACATCAGTACAAGGTTGGCACCACTATTACTTAACCCCCCAAAAAAAAAAAAAAAAAAAAAAAATTAATAAATAAATAGATGTTTGTACCAGTACCACATAAATGATACAACAATGATCAACCATAGTTTTCTAGACGAGGTTAATCCACGTCAATATGTAAATTTTTCACCGATCGGTCTTATACTGGTCAGGCTGCAAAAATATAGTAACTTAGTACTTTCACATATTAAATATGAGAAAATATACATTATTTCGAAAGTATTTATTATATGGTATTACCCATCATTAATGACAATCATTCCTTTTTTTTTTTTTTTTTTAAATAAAAATTTATTTTCTTGTGTATTGAGTAAAATGAGAGTTTTAATAACTGTCGGGAGTACCATGTGTATACGGTTATTATAGATCGAATTATATAATTGAGAACTGAATTTTAAAATAAGCCCAAAAAATAATAAAAATAAAAAACGAACCCTAAAATTTACCCAAAAAAATTATTGAATGAGACTTAATGACTAAATACTAATGAAAACCAAAAATCAAAAGAATCCATGTTTGTCTAGACCTCTAACAAAAGTTTTAAAATTTTCAACAGTTTTCCAAATGATTGAAAAATACAATTTCAGGGTCCTAACAATGGAATGTGAAGAAAGAAAATACTTTTTGGCCAAACAACATAATTATCCATATTATGCTGATTTGATAAAAAAAGAAAATGGATTGTAAGTTCAAACATGATATATGAAAGATAAACATGGAACGCGGGTTTGATAAAAAAAAGAAAAGAAAATGGATTGCAAACACGCATTTTTTACTGAACTTTATTCAAAAGAAATAATCTGTTATCACATAAACATAAATAGAAACAAAAATAAAAATAAAAAACAAAAAAACGTGGTTGGTTTAGGTGGTCCATGATTAGAAAAGATGGTCCATATTTTTTATTCTTTAGGTGATCCATAATCATAACACTTTTGTCCTTTTGCTTCACAAAATCAAATATGATAACGCTATATAGTACCATGCACTGACGTGGATCAACTATATTATGAACACATTTTTCTCACTTCTCAGGGCAATTAACCTTTTGGGAAAACCTTACCACTCAAAAAATAATAATAATAAAAAAAATCTTTTGAAAAACCTTTTGCCAAATTTTCCACAACATTTTTATTCAAATACACATTTTTTTTTTTTAAAGGTGTTGCTCAGTCTATTTTTTTAGATCTGTTTTCTTCAAAGTAATGATGCTCTCAAGAGAGAGCATTAATCATATTTAGTTATAATAATAAGACGGTATTTTAAGATAAGAAAAAGTCAAATGAATCAATCACCTAAAAGGTTCAATCAATTAAGGTTCCAGCATGAATCATGATCACGGTGTTAAATACGTAACTCTTTCTTTTTCTTTTTGACTAAGATCTAATTGTGAAACTTCACACATGTATTTTGATATTTCGCAACTTTAGATAGTGAATTTCATCAACTACCTCTTTTAAATATATAACTAACTTAAAATATGCTTAGATTTATAAATCTTGTCCATTATGATCATTGTGTTAAATACATACTTTTTTATTTAAATTTTTTGCTAAGATCTAATTCTGAAACTTCACACATATATTATGAGATTTAACCACTTTAGATAGTGAATTTCATCTTCATAAATATTAGAGCATCTCTATTAGTATGTTAAAACTTAAGTCACACAATCATTCTCAATAGGTGTCGCTTTCACGTTCTGAGCGCGTTTTCGCTCACATGCTCCGCACGCGTTCTCGCTCAAATTCTCCTGTTTATGACTTAATTTTGTCGCTCTCACACTCCCGCTCTCAAATTCGCTTTCGCTCCTACTTCCGCGTTATGTGATTTAGGTTAAAATACTCTTTTGTGTAAAATACACTGCCACGTATGATGTGTAATTTTTTTTATTTTTATCTCCAGCAGTCTGTTAAGATACACTGTCACATCACCGATGTGTAAAATTGTTGTGTATTTTACATAACCTTTTTACACAACCACACCAACATATTTCATTTCTCCTCCTCATTTCTCATTCCATTAACTGATCAATTCTATATTAAGTAGCTAAAAATAAATAATCCAAAATTTTTGTGTAAATCTATTACTATTTCAGATCAGATTTACATTAAAAAAATATACACAACGGTTAGAGATGCTCTTACTAATTTGAACTTTACCATTTTAAATGATAAATTTTATCATATTTATTAGTGGTTAAAAATTAGTGAAATTTGACCATTGTAATGATGAAATCTCAAATAAAAATAGTGAATTGCTTGTAGAGATGGATATCAAGAAAAAAGGGGTTTACACGGATATGAGTTCTAAAGAAAACAATTGCCCCAAATATATGTATGATACGTTACATCTTATTAGGAAGTTCAGATACTTTGCTGTAATATTCGTTAGTGTCGTACATTTTTTAATACATTACATTTGATTTTTAACATATTATACATATTTTAATATGGTGATTTTTAATATATATATTTAAGGGATTTTTAACATATTCAATTTCCCAAAAAAATAGTAAATGTGAAGTGTTATAATTAGTTTAGTTTTAGGCCTCGTAACAACCTTTTATCACCAAATTATCTTCTTTTTTTTTTCGGTAATTCAGTATATATAACCAAAAAAAGAGAGATGTACAGGGCTCACCAACAAGCCCAAAAAAACCAGCCCGAAGGCAACAAGCACAAAACAACAGGCCCACACAAGAGACCAAACCCAAGAGCCCCAAAGAAGGCCCAAAAGGAACAAACAAAACTTCCTTCCCCTAAATCAGAAAACCAAAATCGGAGAGAAGGAACCAGAGGCAATCAACCAACTGTGACCTCAGCTGTATTGATCAAACTAGGGAGCCCCCATTCAGTAGCTATGCCTCTCAAGCTGGTGGGGTCCTTCATTTTGATTGAGAGAAGTCGAGCGCGAACACATTCTTCAATCATCTTCCAAACTGCTTGAAGGGATTTATGAATCTCAGAACAGGGACGATTATTTCTCTCCTTCCATATAAAGTAGATAGTAGCAGAGAAGCAGAGCTTGATTAAGATTGCCTCAATTGATTTACATTCAACATTCCATATAGTCCTAATCCATTGACCCATGCAAATAAAGTTACGATCACCACAATAAACACCACATTTGTGCTGAACATTGTCCCAAATACATGATGAGAAACCACACCTGAAGAACAGGTGTTCATGAGTCTTAACCTCATTCAAGCAAAGGGAACACAGGTTAGCAGTATCCGAGGGAGGCCAGAATGTCCTATCCTTGGTGTAGAGTCTACAATGCACAACAAGCCATGTAATGAAGGCATGCCTGGGTATATGATTTGGAAACCATATGATGTGGTTCCATCTACAGAGAAGGGCTGGAGGTAGAAGAGCATTGTAGGTGTGCTTCATATTGAACTTACCTGTAGGAGATAGAGTCCAAGCAATCCTATCCTTGTTGCCAACATTTATAGGGGGAAGGGTGTCATTAACATCAATAATTGTCCTGAAATGGTTGGGAATTCTCCACTTCCATGTCTGATCAAACAACTAACCTTGGTTCTGCTATCCCACATGTGGTTACAGATGATTACAGACTCAACTATATTCTCAATAGGGTCAGATGGTAACCAATAATCGAACCATAAAGAGGTGTAAATGCCATCACCCACATGGTGCTTGATAAAAGGTCTTGCCATGCCCCTAAGCTTGAGCAGCCTCCTTCAATTACAAGAGCTAAGCTGGCTGGCTTTAATCTGCCAAATACTTCCATTCTTGTGGTAAAAAGTAATGAGGGGAGCAAACACTATTCATTAAATAAAATGATAATTATAATTAAAGAATTACATCCAGAACTGAACACAAATTATAGCAACAATCACCACTCAACAGATTTATTTATTGGACAAAGGGAGGATCACACTTTCACAATATATATGGAACTGCATTAACAACCATTCTATCTTAATTTGGAATCACTGAATTCGTATCATAGATTTGGAATTGAAAAAAGTTTAGTTTAAAATTTAAAATAATCTTTTTCCAATCCCAAATTCAAGGTACTGATTTGATACTGCCAAATATTAGCATTAATTAGATTGTTTGATCTGAAATTCTTATGCTCTTATTTGGAAAAAGTTATGCCAATAATATAAGTTGGACAAGTTTGATTAGTCTTGCAAACATGATTGTCCATTAATTTAAATATTTTGTGCCATATTATGAAATTATGACGGACTCATTATATTATGAAATGATATATATACCATCAATGTAGTTGATGGTTGAGATTCAAGTTCATGGAGAGTTGTTTTTCAGGAAAAAAAAAAAAAAAAAATGCATAAAAAAGTTAGTGATTCGGCGAACTTATTTTTTATTTATTTTTTGAAAGTTCAAATTTAATATATTAAATAAAAGGAAGTTACATTGTGGCACAAGAGGTTAGCCCATTGCTAACATCAGAAGAGGCCAAAAGATTACAGAGTAAGCAGCCCAGCAAAGAAATTACAGAGTAAGCAGCCCAGCAAAATATGTATGATGAAATGCATCCAAAGAGAAGACAATATTAAAGAAACGTGTACCATGGAGAAGACAAAATGTGTACTATGGAGCACTGAATTAGGCGAACTTACTATCAATATTAAATAAACGCATTCAAAGAGAAGACATATTTGCTTAATAAATGCATTCAAAGAGAAAACACATTTGCAGAATAGTAACTGTTGTAGCAACAATCACCACTCAACGATTATATTTTATTTATCGAACACACAATCACACGCACACACACAACATATACGGCACATTCTCTTTCTCATTCTACATATATGTATAACATCATTATATATGGAACCACATCAAGCAATTCTGGCCACATACCGATGCTAATTAAGTAGAGCAAGAGAATAAAACGAGAAAAGAAAGCAGACTCTGGCACGTGCGTACTCGCACATGCATATTTATTCCTTAATATAATATTAAAACACGCAACGTAGCAACGATGAATATTGCGCTAGCTAGTTGAAGAGAGTTTGAATTCCGGCGCATCCTTGGCCACAAGAACACGCACACGCCCAGTGGACCATTCTACAACGTAGCATACAGCCATCGAAGCATTCCATGTAGCTGTCATTGGATTCTGTAATAAACTTGGCAGCACGAGCGGGTATTGCAGAAGCCATCACCACCATCAGCGCCAAGGAGACCAAGAGCAAGGGAATCAGAGTCTTCTTGTTGGTGGCCATCGATCTCGAACTCGAAGCTGCTTTCAAAATAAATTACAGAAAAGTGAGATGAGCTTGCTAATGGTTATGGAGGTACAGGAGGGTGCCCATTTATATAGAAGCACCAAGTGCATGGGAGAGCGAAAGAGAGAGAGAGAAATTCACTGCTGGTGTTCATATCAAGACTTTTGTTCATTTCTTTATGAATGTGAAAATCACATATGATCCACATGCTCTTTATTATTCATTCTTATCACTTCAATTTATTTTTTAAATAATTGTTGAACCTTAAAAGCTTGAGAGAATTGCCCGAGAGGGGCAGCCTTGAATGACACTAGTATATATTTCGGGTATCATTAGAAAAATGATGAGGGTATTTTAAAAATTTTTACAGAAAAAAAAGTAAGAATATTTTAAAAATTTTCACAAAATTGATACGTTAACTTTGTAAATAATAATAACACAGTGGGTGGCTATCCCAACTGAGCCCTTGTGGTATTATTGATAAATGAATGTTATATCCCGCAATACATATATATATTCGTACATATAGGGTATGGAACATCATGACTAAAAACTGGTGAGAATAAAAAATCAGAAGAATCCGTCGGAAAGCTATTTTTTGCTTTTTATAGAAAAAAATATAAGGAAATTAGGAGATTATGAAGTATTATTATTATTATTTTTAAAAAGGTTGACCATATCATAGGTTGTCTGTGCTTTAGCCTTTAGGTTGCTTTATGTGGTCCCTGTTAATTCACATATGTAATTAACTTCAAATTTAGTTCAATAATTGGCTAACAGATTAAATTCTAAGATGGTGCCATCATTCCATAGATAGAAAGAAACTGAATCACTTTTTTATTTGGATTCGACTTGAAATTTAATTTAATAATTAGTCAAAAGATTAAGTTATTAGACCCAACCCATGTATCAATTAATTTTTTATCTGAATTTGATGTGGGATAACACCAGCTTGTAACATCTTTCCACACACGAACCCATAATACTCTCGTCCAAGGAAGTGTTTGGTGTGACCTAAGTCACATAAAGCGGGAGCGGGAGGGAGAGCGAGAGTGGCAGAATTAAGTCATAAATGATAAAAATTTGAATCAGAGCGACATCTATTGAGAAGGATTGTGTGACTTAGGGTGTGACATCGGATTAAAGGTTGGGCCTGATTTTAATACTAAGTGTAACAGGCTGAATACTTTACGGTCGGAACCAAAAATTTAAGTTATTATATGATACTAATACACAACTATCATATATATACCCCAATCATCTTTCCTTTCAGATTTGACGCTAAGTCGCACAATCCTTCTCAACAAATATCACTCTCACGTTCCGAAAGTGCTTTCATTCATACGCTCCGTACATGTTCTTTCTCAAATTATCACTATTTATGACATAATTTTACCGTTTTTATACTTCCACTCTTGCTCGTGCTTTATGTAACTTAGATTCGATGAGGTTTCCTTTTAACACATATATGTATTAAATATTGAAATTATAAAGTAGTTTAGCAGATGCATATACATTAAATATAAAGTATGCATGCATCATCCATAACAAGGCTAGAAACGTACTTTTCTTGTTTGAATTGCAGGTTTTTGTTATGGCCGGCGGATTAACATGTTTAGTTTTGACAATTTTATCATATTCACGGGACAATTGTATCTAATGGCTTAATCATAATGGAGCGCATGATAGATGTGTAAAAATTAGGGTTAATTGATGGCCATCATCAACATATAAAACGTCTCTCATCAAAAGGGTAAAAAAATAAAATAAAATAAAATAAATTACCCATCACATTTAACATTTTCTTTTAATAAAAAAATTTGACACAACATCGAAAAGAAAATGGATTGTAAACACGCATTTTTTTTCTTCTTATTTTTTACTTAACTCTATTCAAAAGAAATAATCTGTTACCACATAAACATAAATAGAAACAAGAAAAAGAATCAAAAACAAATTAAAAACGTGGTTGGTTTGGGTGGTCCATTATTTAGATAAGATGGTCCATATTTTTTATTGTTTAGGTGGTCCATAATCGTAACTCTTTTGTCCTTTACTTCATAAAATCAAATATGTAATGCTATATACACCGACGTGGATCAACTATATTTATGAACACACTTCTCAGGGCAATTAACCTTTTGAAAAACCTTTCCCGAATTTTTCACAATATTTTTATTTAAATACATATTTTTTCTTTTAGGTGTTGCCCAATCTATCTTTTAGATCTATTTTCTTCAAAGTAAGATACTATTAGGATAAAGAACTTTTCATATTTTGTTACCGTAGTAAAACGGTGCTTTAAGATAAGCAAAAGTGAAATGAATCAATCAAATAAAGCCCCAACTTGATCACTGTGTTAAATATATACTTTTTTTTTTTTTTTTTTTTTTTTTTTTTGGCTAAGATCTAGTTGTGAAACTTCACACATGTATTTTGAGATTTCACCACTTTAGATAGTTTTTTTTTCTTCATGCATTTGAGATTTTCTATTATAAACCCTTCGTATTGTAATCCGTTATAGAATAAGCTAAACAATTAGTCCAAATATAATAAATTAAACCACAATTGTAAGACTCTAATTATCAATGGAGTTTAAGGAAATATTTCACATTGCAACAGATGGTGATAAATATCAAAATTTTGGATACCAATAGAGTTATGTGTATTTATTAATTGATTGGCCTCTTGAGTTATTCTGAAGATAGGGTTGCAACAGAGATGGCAGACAACGAATATGGCAGCTTGAATAATCTCTAAAGATTGGATGTAAAAGATTATGGTTTTGGAATGGAGGAGGTGGTAAGCAATGGAGGTGATGGAAGTCGGTTGGCGGAAGAGATGATTAATATTAGGGTTTCATAATTAGGAAGATAGTGGGCTAATAATGAAGATTTGGTGGGAAAAGAGAAGGAATCGTGAGTTAAAGTGAAGGACAACCCGCTACCAGGTCTCACACGCGTGAGAGAAAATCCTCTTCCTTTTTGAATGACCCATGAAAAGATCAGAATGATTCAGGTTTAAATTTTTAATTTTTTTGACACATGTTATGTTGTTATTGGTTCATATCAACATCAGAAGGAGAGCCCTGCTTATGCGGCCTAAGGTAAGCTTTTCCCTAAGTTATTAGACCCAATTCATGTATAATCAATTAATTTTTCATCCCAATCTAATGTGGGATAATAGGCGCTTCTAACACCCTTCTTCACAGGAACTCATAATACGCTGGCCTAAGAGCACTTGGCTTGACATCAAACTAAAACTAAGGTCGGGTCTGACTCTAATAATAATTGTACTGACCGAATGCTTCATGGTCAAACTCAAAAAATTCAGTTATTATGTGCTACTAACACACAACTACCAAATATATCCAATCATCTTTCCTTCCCAATTCGATGTGCCGCAAAACCTTCCTTTTGCTGTAATCTTCATTTGTAGTAGTGTTGTACATTTTTTAACATATCACATGTGATTTTTAACATATTCAATCTGCCAAAAGTTATTAAATGTGAAGTGTAATAATTAGGTTAGTTTAATTTAGGCCTCAAAACACCCTTTTATCACCAATTTATCTTGGTTAGTTATTTGGTAAGAAATTGTTTTGTGGTAAAAAGTAATGAGGAGGAGCAAACACTATTCATTAAATAAAATGATAATTATAATTAAAGAAAGGACAATGCTTAGCTACTCACCAGTGAGTAGTTTTACCATACTCACCCCTTATGTGTTCCAATAACGAATTAACACATCAACTTTAATAACAAAATCAGCAAAATAATAAAAAAAGAAGATGAAAGTCGAATCGACCCATTTTAATTGGGTAACTTTTTTCTCTATCCTCTTTTATCGATTCCCAACCCACGCCCTCCTCTCTCTGCTGTTCTTCTTCTTTTTCATCCTTTCTCTTTTATTTCTTTTTTTCATCCCTTCTCGATCAAACCCACGCCCTCCTCTCTCTCCACTCTTCTTCTTCTTCTCACTTCCATGGGATATCATCAATAAATGAGTGAACATATTTGATTCGTGTTTGGGTTTTTTTTTTTTTTCATCTCGTGCTCCATTGCACATCATCACTCAACAGGCAAGCAAGAATTATTGGTTCAACTAGGTCTTGTAGTGGAGGTATGATTTAATTCTTTACATTGCACATTTTGGGTTTAATTTTTAGAAAGGGACTTTCAATCGTCATTCAATAAATATTTCCAAAATTTTCACTTTCTTCCTTTTTTTTTTGGTTTTTTTTTTTTTTTTTTGTTCTTGATTAAAGAAACCAATGAGCTGTGATCGAATTTGAATTCTAAAATATTAAAAATTAAAAATATTTGAACCACAAGACTTTGAGACCCCCAAAAATAAATCAAGTGAGTTTTGTTTATTTGATTGTTTCTGGAATCTGATACTCCAATTGTGGGGAAACTGAAGACGAATGCTAACAATAACAGTGCAAAGAGAAAGAGAGGTCATCCAGATCGTCTGTGCTTGCCAAGGCAGAAGACAGCAACTCCTTGTCGATGGTGGTGCATAGGTGCAAAGCAAAAAAAAAAAAAAAAGGGGTCGGAAGAAGAAGAAGGGTGGAGAGAGAGGAGGGTGTGGGTTTGGGAATCGATGAAAGAAGAGAGAAAAGAGTTACCCAATTAAAATGAGTCGATTCAACTTTTTTCTTATTTTTTTTACTATTTTTCTAATTTTGTTATTAAAGCTGATGTATTATTTTGTTATTGGAATACATAAGGGGTGAGTAGGGTTTAGCTACTCGCTAAACATTGTCCTTAAAAAAATACATCCAAACTGAACACAAATTGCAGCAACAATCACCACTCAACAAATTTATTTATTGGACAAAGGGAGGATCACACTTACACAATATATGTGGAACTGCATCAACTAATTTTGGCCATTCTATCTTAATTTGGAATCACTGAATTTGTGTCATAAATTTGGGATTGGAGAAAGTTTAGTTCAAAATTTAAAATAACTTTTTTCTAATCCCAAATTCA